CTTCTAGTAAGAGGTCATCACTTCTATAGATTCTATACTTTTCTGTCCTGTGATTGGCTTGTATGGGACCTACCAGCATAGTCAAGGAATAAAAAAACGTCAGAATGAATTCTTTCATTTTGGTGATGAAGTGCTAGCTTTGCTTGCCAGCATGCAGGGTTCAATAAAAGCAGACAGGTCTTCAAAAAATTGCAGCATAAATAGATGAACTCTTTAAAGTAATATAAGTTCTGTCATATAGATGTGAAATATAGACCTAAGTGCCCGCCGAAGGAAAAGCTGACCGCACATTCCAAAGATAAGTAGTAAAGTTTTCTCAGAGTGTCTTGGGCTAAGAAATGTTTTAACTACATATCTCCTTGCCACCATAGACAGAACGAAAGCATTTGAAGTTAAATCCATTTTTCAAAGGAAGAAAACAAAGCATCCACAGAGAAACAAAGGCATAGCACAGGATGAGGTCTCTAGATAGCTCGTGTTTTCAAGAAAGTTGCAATTAGCTGTGCAATGGAGAAGGTGAACTTCGTTGTATTTCAATAGCATTTATAATGATTTCAGTAGGTAGAACGCTGATGGGTACGTGCAGGGGATTGGTTGCAAGATTTCCTTGTGAGACAGAAGGTCAGGATTCCTGTGGTCTCCTGTCATATTTAATTCATATCCTCTGGCCTTCTTCACCGCATTTATTGAATTACAAGAGTAAAATTCAATGAACCAAAACCAAAAGAAGTGAGAACAGGGCAAATCCTGATTTCTTTTACATCCCTACTGCACAACTGACTTCAGTGGGCTTCTAAGAGAGCATCTTAAAGCAGAATTGGAAAGGACGGGGAGGTACGAGTTAGTACAACCCCTCTCACCATCCCCATAATTGCATCCAGGTAATTTATTGCAAGGAATGACTATTTGCATGTGGGAGTAAGCATCCAATTTCTACCAGTCAAGAACCTCCCTGTACACTTTTTAAGGCAAATCTTTGTGCACTCCCTGCGTGTTTATCAGATTCCTTCTTGCCACAAACGAGATGGCAGCAGAATGGCTTCTCAAAACCGTTCTTCAGAAGAGCATCGCTGGCAGTTCATCACACGAGTACTGAGAGGCAATCCTCAAATACGTTAAAAATACCAGTTTCATGGGAGTGCTCTACTGGCATGTCTATAATGATGTTTCCCTGCAATAATCTTAATTATGCTCCCTTCACAGGTGAGAGGCAATAAGCACAGGGTTTCCAACAGGCCTGCAGCGTGGACTCTACTGCTGGAGCGTACAGGGAGTAGTTCTAGCCATGCTCTGTGATTTGGGGGAAGATTTTGTTGTGTCTCCTCTGCTCCTGTTATCCTATTTTTGCCATCCTGTATGCTGCCTCCAACAACTGGGCTGGTTTGAGCATAACTGTGGATCAAGCAGATTTCTCAGCTCTTCAGTCAAATGTACACCCAGTGTCTGCACTGTGGTTTGGACACCTGTACGGTTAAAATAGCTCAGTCCCCTCGTGTGAGCACAGTCACACCAGAACCTCACACAAATAACCCGTACCGCTAGCCAAGAACATCTTTACAGCAGTGCAATTTGTTTTCAGAGCTAGGTATGTGCAAATCTGGTTGTTGAGTCTGACACAAAATATTCATCAAAAAAAGAAGACATAAAATGTTTTGAAATTCTATCCAAAACTGTAAGCTCACCAATATTTAGCTTTAGCATGTGAATTTTTGGAAATGTCACTACTAATATGTAAGGTATTATTTTCTGAGCAAAACCATACATTTTTATTATAAAACTTGAATCTGCTTAACTTCCAAAAATTGAGTGCTCTGCTCACGTACATGTCAACCTGTGGGATGGCTGCCTTTCCACTTAATACGTTTAAAAAAGGTGACCAGATGCTTTGTGTTTTTAATGGCTTGTTCTGCATCCCAACAAAATGTCCCTGTTTTGGCTGCGATTGCAGATGATTCATCCTGAAACCCAGCCCAGCTGCCCTGACACAGCCGAGGCAGGGCACAGCTAAAAACCAAGCCATCTGTGCAAAAGAAGTGGGCTGGAGGAGTGCTCTGTCAGGAAAAGACTGTCATTTCTTGGTCGCTATGTTTTCTAGGCATCCAGTAACCCAAAAGTCCTACAGGTCCAACCTCTGCCTTTGCAGTTGGATTTTGCTGTCATATCCCATGTCCCATCATATTCTCTTCCTTCCCCCTTACTCAGAAACCCTGCAGCCTGCTCAGCTATACAAGATCGCGTGTAGATCAAATGTTTCTGTAAAATGTAAGATCTTGATCCCACTTTCATTCTTTCCGACCATATGGCAAAACTCCTGACCCCGTAGCTGCATGAGCCAAGCCTCATGCTAGACAAAGCAAAAGGGATTAATTTATGGCTTTTCTGAGTAATTAGCTCTGCCCAGTTCTGGTTTAGCATCTCTCTATTGTCCGTGCTGCCAAAGGAGACATCCTGCATCCGTGAACAGTCGCACCACTCGCTTGCAGGTTGCCAAATTCAAAATTCCACCTGCAGACAAAGCTCGCCGTCGCCTCAGAAGAGGCAGGCACGCAGATTTGAAGGCAAAGCCTGGTCTTGAGCATGTCACTGCGATAAAGCCACTTCAAGCCTGGAGAGGGTTCTGGCCCCACAGCATCTCCCACCTGACCCGCAGGCTGCGTCGAAGGCGTGCTGACACCTTCTCCCAGCGCAGCCGAGGGAGCGTACGGCACCGGCAGCGCAGCAGGACACCGCCGTGCCGGGGTAGGAGGAAGGAAAGGTTCCTGTCAAGTTTTCTTTACAGCTTATGTTCTCTAGCATTTGAAAAAACCATTGCAACTCAAGTCATCTGGCATGCATACGAATGACAAATACGCTTCAGAGGCAATAAATTAGCAGTTTCAAGGCTTTACTTCCCCTCACGGACTAATTGCCAGAGATTATAGTATATTATGAGAGAGCAATGATACTAATGCCTAAATATGCTTCAGTGATTATAGAGCTATCCTCAATAACCAAGCTGTTTAAATGTCAATGCAAGAAAGCTCTTTATTATGAGATTAAATACGATTTTGAAGCAATGCAATAGGAACTTCCCAGGCATCGTGCCTGCAATAATACTGTCTTGGAGCAATATATATTGAACAAACTGTGCTTTTTCAAAAATGTGTACAGTAAAGGGTACCAAAATATTTTTGTGCTGCAAACTTGCATTCCTGATCAGAAAGAGGATCTTGGCATCTTCGTATTCTGCATTTGTCACTAACATGCTGCTGCCTTCATTCTTTCCTCCACTTTATATTAATACCTGTGTATCACCACTGTATAGAGAAGATAAATTCTTGGTTTCTGTTAGTGTAAGTGCGGAATCAAACCTCAAAGCCCTTTTCTTCTTTTTAAAAAATCTCTTAAGTACCACTGTCTTGTACAGATGCTTTTGTCAGTCCTACCCCGCATGCCTACACAAACCTGTTTATACCCAGCACTGTGAGAACCCCTGGAAACTAGATGGAAGCTCCAAGTTCCAGGTTCAGCTATTGACATGAGGGACAGAACAAAAGTGTCTTTAAGCCATGACTCCACTTCCCCAGTTCTGGAGAAGACAGTTGGTGATCATGAGCTGAGACGTGGATTTGAAGCGGGAGGAGGCTAAAAAGGCTCCAGCATCCCACTCATATCAGACTCCCACGCCATGGATCTTGTCACACAGCTGTGCAGCCTTCCCCTATAGGTGACATCAGTATGTGTCCTTGCAGAATAATGCAACATTTTTCCAAGAAAACCCTGAACACTGCCATGGTTGCTGATGGCAGGACGTGGCTGCTCTGCTGTCCAGACCAAACGTGCCATTCCCCTCCCGTTGTTTCCAAACCTACCTGGTATGATGTCCACCACGTTTCATAAATGCAAATTGAAAGAGCTACAAAATGGTCAAGGATCACATCTCATATTCCCTAGTCTTGGGAGATATGTATTCGTCTCATTCTGAAGTTGCAGCTTAAAACAATAGAGGGTAAGAGCCTCACCTAGGAGGCTGGGCATTTTATTTGGCTGATAAATGTCAGCCGAAGCTCTAAAAATATAGGGATCATCTTTGAATCTGAAGCTAGATTTCTAGCAAACTCAGTAATTATAACTAATAATTACTATAATAGTACAGAAAACATATAGATAGACCTGTGGGGACAGACCATGTAAAACTAAGGCCAGAAACTACAGAAGGACAACTGCTAATGAAGTTGTGGTGGAATTCTCTCTTGAAAATAATTTTTTTTCTTTAGGAAGTATTGTTTCTTAAACATAGCCTGCAGATCTCTTCCATGGTGCACTTCTGAAGTAAAGAGATGCTTCATGTATGGATGACCAGGGAACTTACTACCAAGAGTTCCACGATGCCCCGCTATAGCCAGACTGGACACGTGGATCCACATCCTAATACTTTCTGCTGCAACCTGGCAACCATTAATTCTGAATTTTTGTTGTTACATCTTGGCTGATTTCTTCAACCTTTTTATATCTCATCTATAATATGTAATGCTTGTTTACCTCAGAATGTCTGAAGCTCTTTCTGATGCTCAGGTGAAAGACACCTGCCACCTGCCACATATGCTCAGAAAAGAAATAAATTGCTCTATGATTTATAACATTTTAAAAGAGCTTAATCCATTAAAATCACAGTGTGACTGACAAGGAACATGCTGAAAGGCCATGAGAATTCTTTTTCTGTTCTTCCAGGCAGACAATGATCTGACATCTTTTTTGTCATGTCTTGACTTAGAATATATGATGGGAAACCGTGTCTTTATCCTTATAACAGTAATAAACCTACAATACTGCTGTTAAGTCAATAACCAGAAGTAATAAGCTGACACTGCTCAAAGGAGAATTACGTGGACTTAGAACAGGGAAAAATTACCTGCATTTGGCCACTTTTATGCAAACATTATTTGAAAACAGATTAAAATCCTCTTTCATTTTTTGCAAGCACCTTACGAAATGCGCCTTTACTCGCAGCTCTCACTTACCATATATCCCGGCGCGCACACGCACTGCCCCGTGATGCTGTCACAGTCTGCGCCGTTCTGGCAGGGGCAGGTCAGCTGGCAGCCCTCGCCGTAGTACCCCGGGGGACAGGTTTCGTTGCAGTAGAGTCCAGCCCAGCCAGCTTTGCAGCTGCATTCCCCAGACAGTGGATGGCAACTAATGAAGAGAGACAGACATTAATGAGATGTGGGCATGAAAGTCGAATGCAGTCCGTAACCAGCAGTAGAACGTTTTAAATGCAATGCCAGACTGAGAACATAACAAACCTGAAAACTGTTCAGGATGGTGGACATGAGCAGCCATTTAAGCCAGGAAATGAAGAGGGACTATGGTGCTAAATACCAGCCTGGCATGTCCCTTCCAAACATCTGCGCACAGGTGATTTTACACCTTCGAAGTTTATGCTTTTCCATTCTGAAATCAAAGTGACTTGGGCTACTGATATCAACCACATCAGGGTTAAGCCACAAAATATCGTATGGCATAGATGTGCCATACTATTTGTCTGGAATACAGTCAGTTAAAGATATTCAGGGTGGGGAGAAATTCCAATGGACAGAGGAATGCAATCAAGAGAGTGGTGAAGATAAACCTGAGTGCTGTGGCACAAATATTCTATTCTATTCTATTCTATTCTATTCTATTCTATTCCATTCCATTCCATTCCATTCCATTCCATTCCATTCCATTCCATTCCATTCCATTCCAGTTTGTGTTTTAAAAGTGACTGCTACTTCAGCATAACTTTTAGGAGGGAGAGGTAGAAAGTGCTTGGGAAGGGAAAAACCTCCTTGGAAAAAGACTTTTGCAGGGAATATGCAGCCATAGTGGCCAGAACCACCTGAAGCCTTGGGATTTTTTCAGGGCAGGAGTCAACAGGAGCCCTGGGTCTAAATCTCAGCTGTACAGGGAAATGAGTCGCGTTCCTTTATGCTGAATACCAAGCATTGCTGCCCAACATCAATCCTCTGTCTTTCATTTCTATCCAGACAACTCTACGCTGTTGTGAGAGCACGCAGAGAGAAGTATAAAGAAGAATCAAGCCCAAAAGAGCGGACAATGCCTGGTCCTTCTTCATCTGGGCAGTGGAAGACTTACCCCTTTGTCCCTCCTGCTTAGGAAACAGTTTATCTTTATTCACTACTTTCTCTCCTACGAACAGCAAGAGCATCTCCTTGGTTTCCTCAGGGCACTAACGCCCCAGAGCAGGAGAGCCACGCTGGGGCTGGGGCACGAGGGGACGGCTGGAGATGTGTTACATCCTGCTTTGAAGAGATGGGGGTTCCTGGGGGATGGGATGGGAGAGCACAGGGGGATGACCAGTCTGGGGAGATGAGGTGGCCAGTGAGAGGGTGGGAAAGAGAGAAAAGGGGATGGAGAAGAAATCGGATCTATGGAAAAGGACCCAACACTGTCCGAGGCCAGCTGGGAGCGTAAGGCTCCACCTGAGAGCAAAACGTGCTCTGGGGGTCTCTGCACCACAAGATTGTACAGAATAGCACTGTCTAGCCCTCAGTGAGAAAGATGAGAAATAATATTACTACAAATCAGATTTTGTCTATTATTCCCGGAACCAGAAAGAATAGAGCTCTGCAAGATAGCACCTCTCTATGGACCTGTCTCCTGTTTTTTTGCCTCATAGAAACTATTTATTTTCCTTTACGATTATTTATTGCTATAGTTTAATATCACAGACATGACTGAATGGGTTTCTTTGCACCTATAAAATTAATATTGTATCTGTTAATATTCAAGGTAACCTCATAAAATGTAATTTCCAAGTATGTTTGGCAATTACCGGTAGGAGAGGTTAGTCACAAACCGTTGTGACTAAGAATGATCAAATTTTGTGAGTGTCATATGTTTCATCATAAATAGTGTTTTACTGACTAATTAAAACAATTCATCAGCTTAACAAACTACCAGCCATGAAATTCTTCTGACAAAGCAGTCCCTGAAATTACGGTTGTTCACAAAGCACCTCTTAACATTCAGATGGAAATAATAAAAGCTCGTTTTTTCCCCCTCTGTGTCTATTAATCATTACCTAATAGGAGCAGAAAGCTAAACATTAAAGAAATATTTTAAAGTGGCTTTTTTGTCTCTCTGTTTTCACTGCTTCTGCACATATCATACAGTTCCATGAGAACTGCATCTGTTGCCTAAATTAAATCTTTCAAACGTAATATATGATCATGGCAGCTTGAATCAGTCTATGACAATTCAATTGAAAATACTATACCCAGTAAGAATTTCTGCTCCAAGGTTGGCTCCTTCATCAAAACTAACAGCTTTTTAAAATGGGATGCAGACTATATATTAAGGACTAAAAATCATCCTAACATGCACTGAAATAAGAAGCAAGAACCAAAGAGGCTTTGCAGAAGGGAATGCGGGAGACGGGGGCTTGGACGCCAAAGCAAGGTCCAGCAGAAGGTTAAGATCATATTCTGCCCCCAAAGCCTTTTTCCACTCTTCTTCTACATTTCATTATCAGCCTGAGCATATCAGAGGTTTGTTTTTCTCCTAGGTCAAGCACTTGTAGGCTCCTAGCGCTTTGAAATACTGACCTTCTGCTGTTGTACAGAGCGCTGGTACTGCAGGATTGGAAAAAATCCTCCACTTTAAATTCCAGAGGTACGGTACCCATAACAATAGCTCTGGCTAGGCAGCAACAGCTGCTGAAAAGACTACAGAGCAAGGGAAGGAAAACTTCTCCTTCATAGTAGCAGAATAAATCTTTCCAAGGCTTTTGGCAAGCTGAACATTAACACATACCATGTTACGGTAGCATGACAAGCAAAAGGACCTCAAACCTACGTCGCTGGTCTGAAATGAGGCTGCAGGCTGCGTCTGGCCAGGGGACACAGGACATGTCTCAGACACAAATACAATGCCCTGAACCACAAACACTTGTTTGACAATGAAGGTGCCCTGATTCAGTGTTAACTCAAAGATGGCTGCAAGTTAAGAAAAATTCAGAAGACAGCTGTTCCTTTCCCAACCGTGCCAGTGAATCTTGGCCCTGTAACGTCCTCTGCATTCATCCTTCCCATCTGTACAATGATGCCTGCCTTCCTTCCTCTGGAAACCCTTTTAAGGTCTGCAGCTGATATCACTAAATAGTACTAACTTTTTATTATTAATTGCTTTTTTCTATTCTCACATGTATGAACTATTCCAGTAATTAAAGTCATCAGAGTTACACACTAAATATCTTTCAGCTCATGGTATAGAAATAGTATACATATGTATGTATGTGTCAGTTGGGAATGCTTCTCTCTTACTATATTGGTATTCTGTAAAATTTCATTCTGTTTAAACTATGTACCTAGAGATGCAGCTATGGCTAGGAAACCCCTCTGTCATCCAGCCAACTTGCCCAGAGAAGCTGTGGGTGCCCCGTCCCTGGAGGGGTTCAAGGCCAGGCTGGATGAGGCTTTGGGCACCCTGGGCTGGTGGGAGGGGTCCCTGCCCATGGCAGGGGGTGGCACTGGGTGGGCTTTAAGGTCCCTTCCAACCCAAACCATGTTGGGATTCTGTGATCTCTGTATCAAGACTATCCAGTGAACTAAATGCTAGCTGCACTCAGGTTGAAAAGTTTGAGGCATACAATGGCAAAGATGTTAAGGCGAAGATGAGGAAGCAGAGCCAGCAGTGTGAATTTCTGGTATCATTCCTCCCTTCTGAATGTACCCTTCAAGGTCCTGAGCCTATGTAACATGCTGCCAGCGTGGGGTGCAGCATGTGTAAGACACTTCTCCGTGCCATCAATAAACAGAAATTAAGGAACACAAACAGTTCCTCTGGAGAAGGATCCCTGAGTGGACGGGTAAGAGAACGTGAAAGGATCCCAGCAGGCAAACCCACCAACCTCTGCTTTCCAGCCGCTGGCTGCGAGCAGGAAGGGAACCTGACACTCTCGAAGGCGTTTGACAGTGTTACACACGAGTATTTTGCATCGAACCTTAACAACTTTTATTTTTTCAAATCTCTCGCATAACAGGAAGGAACAGTGTAGAAAACTCAGAGTGAATGCAAGCAGCCAAGTGTTCCTCTGGCACCAGGACAAGCAGAGGTGGGAGCTGGAAGCTGTCCACAGCACACAACATGGCATGAGAAGGAAATTGTTCCATGGCTCTCACTGCGGTTTGGAAGCTACTGTAGGCTCCCTGGCTTTTGAGCCACATTTACAGCAATAAAAGATTTTTTTTTAAAGTTACTAGCTGAACTGAAAACCAGAAAGTTTTTTTTGACCTTTAAATTTTTGAAGCTTCTACTTTTGAGGAAATCTGAGGAAACCAGGTAATTTAACTTTCTTAAGGCAAATTGGGCAAAGAAACACTTTAAACAGCACAGTCTGTTCCAAATTCTGAATTTGTTCTCCACACATTTTTCAGCCAAAACAACCTCTTCCCAGTGAATTTCCTCACTTTCTGTTTATACACTAGCACCAGTCATCTCATCTTAATTAACAGCAGCCCTAAGCCTTATTTAACACTACTTTCTGGCTTTTGGTGCCCACACTACATTCAGTCTCCTGTACTAAAATGCCCTCTTGCTTTTACAGAAGTAGCCACAATGAGACTGTAGGGCCAGAACTTCAGCCCAGAACGTCTTCAAAGCCAGTCTCATTCAAGTGCACTATTGGTTTCGGTCAAAGCAAAACTTCACGTAAGGTCCATGGAGTTTGGTCCTTCCCAACTTTTCAGTTTTCAGTTGAGGCAAGAATTAGAGCCTCTGGGGATCTGTCCATTGCATTAGACTGTCACAGTGGGGACGTGTCAAGGCTTAAGAGGCCTCTGACCTGGGAAAGAATCACTACAGGCATATGGCTCCACACCAGCGGTCAAGGAAGGTGGGCTGCTGAGACCATCCCAGCTATTCATTTTCCCCTCTGCTTTTCAGCAGAGCAAGCCAGGATTATGCCTTTCTGACCATTGTAGACTGTCTCAACGTGGGCTTTTTGCATGGGGGAGTTTTTTACAGGTGCATCGTTCCCTGCGGAAGGACAGCCCAAGCCATCAGCACATTCTCAATTACCTAACTCTGGGGTTGTGCAGGAGTCCCGTACAAAGTGCCTTTCAGCGTGCTTTGATGCAGAAATTATTGGATGATGTTCTTCAGCCGTTACTATGCAGGAGGTTAGACTAGATGATCACACTGGCCTCTCCAGACATTAAAATAGACAGAACAATGAAAATAGAAAAACTGATTGTGTATTTCTAAATGTTCCTCCCCAACCCGCTCCTCAAAGCCCCCAGAACTTTCTGTTCCAGTCTGCTCTCCCATAACCAGATCAAATGAGTCAAAACCGCTGACAGACATAAGCAAGCTTCCCTCACCTTCCTTCGAGTGTTTAGATAATTATCCTACACACTTAAGCAGTGTAACAAGTAGCCAACAGTTTAAACTGCTTCTGGGAAAATAGATGGCTGTCAGTAAATGAATCACTTTGGAAGACCACAGTTCCAGTAACGATAAAAATTCATAGGGGAGGAAGGGGAGGAGGTGGGTGGGAAGAGAAGTACTCTGTATGGGACTGGTTAAACAATCGGTAAAAAGATTAGTTCAGAATATGGAGTGCCTTTGGAGAAGGTCGGAGAAGGTAATTTTCCATCAACTCTGACACTCCTTGGCTCAGAAACTGACAGCACTCCGAGGAGCTCACTGCAAAGTGGAAAGCTGAAATACCAGGGACGAATGAAAGAACATTGACACATCTCCAGCCTGCTGCTACCTCTTTGTTCCATGAGCAGCGATAAGATGGAGGGAAAAGGGAGATTTTATCAATGGAGAGACTAGACTCATTTATTAAGAAGCGGAGATATCATCTGAGCAGAAGATGATGCAAGTGAAGCTGATGGAGCAGTGATGGGAGGGAAGGTGTAAAATATATCTGTCAGACAGCAACCAGGTGCAGGTGAGGTGAATGACCACAGGCCTAGAAAAGAGCTGTGAGAGGACTCAATCCTCCACCTTCTGAGCTCTCTCAAACTTGAGACCTCACCTTTCTCCACAGCAGGATGGTGTTGGTCTGTTCTTTCAGGATGGACGTGCTGGCAAACCCCCAGAGCATCCCCAGGTGGTTCCTGGAGTAACTCAGGATGACCTCCTGCACCCTCAAACCCACAATCTTCCCCCACTTCAAAGACTCTTAATGAATTGAGCAGTTAGCCGAGAAACGGCAGCCAAGCTCAGCCTTGCCTGTGGCCCACAGTCCTTCCACCCTATTTACACTTTCTGGGAAAACGGGCCACGAACAGGTCTCTGCAGGCTGGGAGAGGGGTGAAAACACCTCGTGTCAGCTGCTGCCCAGGAGAATATTCTCACCCTCCAGTACAGATGAAGAGCAGCTTTCACCGAGGAGCACTTTGCCTCGTCTTCACCGCAGGCTGAAGCCGTGCACCCTGGCAGAGCAGTGTGACATGCAGGAATTTATACCCCAGCGTGAGACCCGCTCTGTCTCAGTACAACACAACACTAACCTTTGGTGTATAGCGCTCAGCTCAGTTATTTTTTGCAATGATTTTATGATACACAAAATAACCAGAAGTGACAGAAGTCTGTTGTACAGAGCTACCTTCGAGGTGTCAAACTCTTTGGATCCTCGCTGTCGAACCCAGCAGAGCCAGAGCTATCTTTCTGTCCAGGACTCGGATCATCAGAACTACAAGACTTTTAAATAATCCACTGTGAGCTCTCACTTTCAGTTCCGCAAAGCCTTACCGCTCACAGCTGAACTTGAATTCACAAGATCACCTGTTTATTTCCAAGACTGAGACAAACAGCATCTATCTGAAGCACACAGATTTGCCTGAAGTGTTTGTGTGTTTGTGTGTGCACGCACACAAATGAGGCAGCATGGCTTGCATACGTAATTGAGGGGAGTGTTTCTATTTTAGCAGGCTGCAAGATTGCAAGGGAGGTTTGTCATCATCAACAAGACAGTCAGGTCCCTACCTGTCTGGTTTGAATTTGAAGAATGTCCCTACCAAGGGCATATTTGCTTGGGCATCAATTATCCCCACCTCCCTCCGAGGGCTGCACAATCCCAAACTGGCTGTGAATGCTTAACAGCAATGGGCAGAAAAGGAGGAAATCCAGTGGGAGCTGAGGGGCTCAGCATCTCGCAGGCATGGTAGGGAAATGTGGGCACTCAGTCCATCAGAATAGCTGAGGCCAGGGTGTAACAACAGGATAAGAGGGAAGAGTCTTAAATTTTTCCTTTTTTCAGGGTTTGGAAAACTTATTCAAGCCCACAACGGGAAAGTAAATTCAACCTATCTCATGCTAGGTGCTCAACGCTGTTTGTGGCTCTCTCAGTAATGAGAACCTCAAGAATTAGATCCTAAAAAAAGTGAAAGAGAATAAAACACCAAAACCTGACCTTGTAAGTGAGGCTTATTCCATTTTAGGTATATTTCCCTAATGTTTATTTTCCTGAATATTTCACCATACACACACTGAATGAAGAGCAAAACCAGGCACACATGAGAAGTCTATCTTGACAATGTCGACTTCCTTACAGTTCCACAGACTGACTTGGGGATATTGATTTCAGTCTATTTATACACCTGCCTCAAGTGTTTTCAACAAGGTAATTTGCCACGAGACATAAACTGAAGCAAATTAGTTTTCATCTTGAAAGTCCCCTTGCTGCCTATAGATTTAACAGGAAAACCCATGTCATAAGAGACAAAATGATGGATTTGAGTAAATATATCTACATTTCTTCAACTTCGGTGGGTTATTATACATACATGTGGGCATCACATGATAGTTCTTATGCCTAAAAGATTGCAGTTACGGGGTAAGGCCATATGTCAGATTGTTTCAGCTTTTAGCAGAACTGTTTAAAGACTTCACAGATACACGCTCAGTAGCTGGCTGGACTGAGGCTTACAGTTCCAAACATGAGGTCATTTAAACCAAAGGTTTCAAACCAGAGGAACTGTCTGTGTTCTTCATTAAAACTCGAGAAAAAGGGAGTAGGAGTAGTTAATTCATTTTTTTTCCCAGTGCTTTTATTTGGCCAGTATATAATACGATGTACATACCTGAGAGTGTTGGTAGTATCGCAAGGACATCTCTTGTTGCATTTGAGCCCATAAAACCCTTCTGGACACATTCTTTCTTGGCAATAAATCCCTTTAAATCCAGGGTCACACATACATGCTCCATTTACATGATAACACTTGGCACCGTTTTGGCAGTCACATCTCTGTGTGCACTGAAAGCCGTAGGTCCCAACAGGACACTCTTCTTGACACCTGCAATGAAATATGGGAGACAGGATCCATCACATGCTATAGTCGAGTCTGCTTATGACTTCTACACGGGAATGTTTTTGTTAATGAATTAAGTACAAACTCATTGCTCATTTATTAAGGTAATATACTGTGAACTGATGATATCATTGTGGGGATGGGATATCTTGGGCATGTAAATGACTGTTAACTGGAAGTGCATTCATCTCTCTCCAATTATATCCTGCAAAATTTACATTACCTAATATTACCTTAGTTAACAAAGTGCATTCTTGTTTCCTGGACCTTCACAATTCCATTCATCATCCATAAGAAATTGATACAGAATAAGATACTTTATAAAAAATCCTCAACTGTTTGCTTTGTCTTTATTAATAAAGATTGTACACCTTCTTCAAAAGCATGCAGTCCTCTTAGTGTTAATGAGGGTTGGAAGGAAATGTGGTCTATTAAATAACATTGAGTAAAGTGTTCTCCAGCAATGTACAGTTTTATTTTCCCTTTATGCTGTCACTGCACCAGCTTTATACCAACTAGGAGAAAATATACTCCTTTGTCTTTTGTGTGTGTTCTGAGTAACTAAAGCTCAAAGTTGCTTTTCATCTCTTATTCCAGGGATGCTCAGTAGTCTAAAATCTCAAGACAAATTACTTTCACACTCCTCAGTGTAGTATCTTCTCCAAAATTGCCAACATTTTTAATACTTGCTACACATAAAAATGGAGCCTGCGAACACTATACACAGATTGTTTTAAATTGCACCTTCCTTTCACTGGTAAAATATTTCCCTACTGGATACATTACGAAATCTGCCAAAAAGTCTGTTTCATTGTCCTACACAACCAGTTTAAGTGTTCATAACATTTCCTACTTTGAAAAACTCAAAGAAGGTCCTAAAGAAAGCAACTGATTCTGTGCTTGACATAATTCAGTGGTTTCAGAATTCTGCAATGAGTCAGTACTACAGTTTAGGTGATCCGCCATGAAATACAGTTATGCCTATTCCGTTAATAAAAAAAGAAAACATCCAGAAAAGCCCAATTCCCTTATCACACTGATGCCAGATATTGGAAATTGCCTATCAGCATTAATTTAATCCTGAGCATCGATTAAAGTGTACACTGCAAACTCAGTGGGTAGAGGCAATTGTTAAACGCTGTTCTGCAGGTCACTTCCCAGCTGGCAGGTGAGAGTTAACAGAATGAGCAGCAATAAAAGATTACTGTGCGATGCAAGCCAGGCAAAACTGCACTGAACACAGCCAGTATATTAGAAGAGCATCACTTGTGCAGCTTCAGATTATCACGTTTTACTGAAAATAAATGACCAACGCAAAAGACCTGGCTAGTGATTGAATTGCAGCACCAACACAGTTCCTAGTTACGCAATCCAAGTTCAGGAGTTCGTACAAGACCCAGAGAGAGAGGAGCCTGCAACCAACACAAAAGGAAGGAGCCCCAAGAATCACCCACGGTCCTGGCTGCCAGCCCTGCTGCTCTCGGGGTGGTTCAGCTGCAAAGGAATAACCAGCAAAGAACGGGCAACAGCAGGGCTGAAACACTCAGAGCAATGAAATGCAGTGAAGAAGATATTTAGACGTCTTGTGTCTCCGTTGCTGTGTGCAGCTGTACTAGTTAGCAGGAGAGCACTGTACTCCACGAGATGAATACTTCGTCAATAGTGCACTATATCATTCTGTATTTATAGAAGATGAAGCATTACCTAGCAGGGAGAAAAGCATCTGGAAATGAAATATTGACGACCTAATCCATTTACATAATTAGCCTTTTCCTACTAACAATTTAACCAACTTATTTATTTGGAGATCAAGCAGCTACCGCTAATGAATTTTATACAAAGAATACTAATAATGACTCCTCTGGAACATAAGATAGGAATTAGCTTTCTACTTAAACATCTTTCCTTTGCAACATATCAATCTAATGCGTCCATAGCACCATTAACAACCAGATACATTGTTCAATTAAATTACAAAATGAGCTGCTAAGCCCTAGTTATGTTTCTTGTTTAATTTACATTGCTTTCTGCCTGTCTGGGGAGATTCCTATTATAATACCCACTGAACTTTAATATGTACTATAATTATTTGGGTTGGGATAGGATAATACGGTTGGCACCTGTAGAATTAATGGAAGCAATTTCACAAAATATTAAACGTAAGACAGCCTGCTCAACAGATGAACCTAGTACATACATCTACATTTTTTTCCAGATATTTTTTTTTTCATGGAATAATGCTTTAAAGTTTTTTAGGCTTTTCTGTTTGCTTGTTTTGAAGCAGTGATCACATTCATGTAGCAAAGACAAATATTAAAACCCATCCAAAATACACTAACCTGCAGATTGTCATTCTGTCGATGAAAGATAGGGATACAAACACAACAGCAAGAGAATGTCTGTTCATATTGTTATAACAAGTGTGGTATTTATTCTGCTGAGATTCAATCTTTAGGTTTAATGGCAATATGGAAAACAAAGCTAAAACAGTATGTTCACTTTTCCTGTCAGCCACTGAATTCTCAGACATCCCATCCTCAGCTTCCAACTGTGCTTCTGCTATTATTCCTTTCCAGTTTGCAAAACACACATTTACGCGCCATATCCAGTCACCGCAGCAGAGCACAAAGCTGCCTGCAGTTATTAGCAGCGCTTGCCAATTTCCCAGATATTTAGTGCAGTGCCACTTCCCAGAAAACAGGTAGGGAACAAAGTGTGGCAATTACACTTATGTAGACCTTTATGACCACTTCATCCTCACAAATATTTATCTAACTCTTCGTTATTATCTTCTGCACGCGACGATGAACTGTGGTACTATATAGTTAAAAAGATGACAGTAGATAAAGTGTGCTTACATTATTATTGTTGTTATTCACAATAACTGCTATTATTAAGAATATTTTCTGGTGCCTTGTAAAATTTTAAAGAAAACACTGTTTTGTTGGGCAGCAGCATTCTCCTGCTGTACTTGCAACGATACTGTAACGCTGCAACAGCTGCGTGAGATCCAGAAAGTAAAGCAGCCTTTAAGCTAAAACAGCGCTGACTAATGTGTCCCATCGTCCATGCTGTATGAACACACAACCAAGGAAAGCAATTTAGACTTTTTAAAGACCTTGTGCCTGCTCCTGCCCTCGCTGAAATCAATGGGCAGTCTACCATTAGCCAGCTGTCGTTAGCAGCACGGGAAGGGCACGCGCGCCTGTGCAGAACGAACCACTCCAGGCAAGGCGCTGTCCCAGCCCAGGCGAGAGGCAGAGCTCCGGTGGAATATATCTGCTTCTCTTACTGAGGGCTGAGAAAGGCTGATAGAGAAACATCTTTTAACTTTCTGAGAACCCATTTGAAAGGTGGGAATTTCTAGGCTAATAGTTTTTCCCTGCTGCTAGAAAAGCTTTCCAAACTGCCTGTTTACCTGACTTTCTCCTGTTCTTATTCATCCTCCCACACTCCCGCGTTTCTGCTCTTCCACCTCTCCCTTCAGCATCTGTCTTTAGTTCCCTGCTGCAGGAGGGGCAGGCGAGCCACTCCTAAGGGTTTTGCTCAGGCGCAGGTCCAAAGCGAGACCTTCTCTTGGATTCTTTTCCACCTCTTCCAGCTGATCATGCCTTACTTTCTCTCTCCCTGCTTCCATCTTCCCAAGCCACATCTCTTTGGAGTCCAAATCTCTCTCACTTTGCTCCAAGTAGAGATCTGAAGAGCCCACACTCCCTTTGCTCAAGGACAATTCTTGTGAACTCCCGCCCAGCTAGCTAGAGCTAATAAAAAAAGGTAAGACACAGGAGGAAGGCCTTTAGCATAGCATACCCTCGTGAGCTGTGCCCACGGTCTCTGGGAACCCTGGTGTCACAGTCCAGTCCCTAAAGCTTGTTTAGCTGCAGCTTCCCCACCATCCTCAGCCCTGCCGGCAGGATTAGCTGCAGGGCTGAGCCGGTGTGTGTTACAATCCCACCTTGACTTTGCTGTGTTGTCATTTTGCTAAGCCCATGACACCTTTGTAAAACAATATTATCATCTTCCCTGGTCGATTTATGGGTGAAGGCTCTCATTTATAAATTTTGAGGATTTATCACCTTTTGCTGGTGTCTGAGATGGATCAGCGCTGCAGCAGCACAGAAGGGCTGAAGGAAACATTAAACCGCTGCATTGCCTGCTCTTAAGGATATTAATTTGTACAAATACAGTTCATTTACATATCTTGTAAACATGTAATGCTCTCTATTAAATTTATCACTGCAAATATCTAAATTAAATGTAATCCATTAAATTTTAAAAGTTATATTAAAAAACCTGTAAATGGAGAGCATTGCCAATAAAAATTAATAACATTGCCACATTTAGAATGCTTCAACTGCTTCAGAAGGATGAATCTAATTGAAGTAATAGAAACATAACGCCATTTTTCAGAGTAAGATTGTCCTAGGAGGATATAAATTGCCAATCCGTGGTTAAAACCATGGCTTTGGGGTTTTGATTTTTTACCTGTCTCCTATATAGCCAGCTGTACAGACGCATTTTCCTGTCACAGGATCACAGTGTCCTCCGTTGTGGCATGGACAGTCCTGGCTGCAGTTAATTCCAAATGTTCCAGGAGGACACGGCTGTGCACACACCAGTCCCTGGTAACATTACAGAAAGAGCAATATTTCAGTCAACATTCCTAATGCAACAAATTTCTATACATAGCTTGGATATTTTTTCTCTTTCTAAAACTAGATCTAAGTGTCACTGATAATTCTCTTCCTTCTGGCATCTGCCAGCGCTTTGCCTAAGCCATGGAGGAGGCAGGATGGGAACATGAGACTGGGCACAGCTGCAGAAAGCCACCAGTGATGACACAGAAGCAACCCAACTCTCCACACCAGCAGTGCAGCAGCCTTTTGGCCAGAAGAAGTGATTTTGCAATGGAAAATCTGACTAATCCCTGAACCCTGGCTGGATACATTATCCAATATCCTCCCAGCTCCTTATCCCCAGCCTTGGAGACGTATCTCAATCCCTGACCTGCCTCAACTCCACATCTTGATGGCCACCTCCTTCCCCCATTTCATGCTCCCAGCCCTCTGCTCTCCTGCCTCTTTATTCCAGTCCACCCAAAATCCTTGTTGCAGACTTTAGTCCTTTTCTCCATCCGGACCCAAATCCCCATGTCTGAGTTGTTTCCTCCTTCCTTTCCCTGCTTAACCATCCCTGAAAATAAAGAAAAGCCAGCCTGTCATTCTTGGTTGTG